TCTAAATGTCTTGTAGAGTTCAGCAGTGAAGCCATCAGGACCCAGGCATTTCTTAGTTGGTAAGTTTTTAATTACATTTTCAATTTCATTGATTGCTGGTGGGTCATTTAGAATTTTTAGGTCTTTGTTCAACTTTGGTAATTCATATGTATCTAGGAATCTGTCCATTTCTTCTGTGTTTTCCATCTTATTGACGTTATAGGTTCTAGAAGTAGGTATTGATGATCCTCTGGATTTCTGCTGGGTCTGTTGTAATTTCACCCTTTTCCTTCCTAATTGCATGGATTTGGGCCTTTCCTTTTACTGATAAGGTTGGCTAAGGATTTGTCATTTTGTTTATTCTTTCAAAGAACCCACTCTTGGCTTCATTGATTTTTTTTTTTTTGTACCATTATCTTAGTCTCCATGACATTGATTTCTGCTCTGATCTTTATAATTTCCTCCCTTGTATGAGCTTTGGGTTTGTCCTGCTCTTTTTTTTTTCTAGAAGCTAAGGTTCAGCATAAGGTTGTTTAATTGGGCTTGCTCTGTTTTCCTAATATGAGTATTCACTGCTGTGAATTTCCCTGGTAAGGCAGCTTTCATTGTGTCCCATAGATTGCAATGTGTTGTATTGTCCTTGTCATTTAATTGTAGGAACTGTCTGATTTTTTCTTTGATTTCCTCTGTGACCCATTGGTTATTCAGAAGTGTATTGTTCAATTTCCGTGTGTTTATGAAATTCTTGAGGGTTCTTTTGCTATTGATCTCCAATTTCATTGTACTATGGTCTGCTGATATACAAGGGATAACTTCAATTCCTTTGCACTTACTTAAACATGTTCTGTGTGTGAGTATGTGGTCTATTTTGGAGAATGACCTGTGTGCAGCTGAAAAGAATGTGCATTCTGATTTTGTGGGGTGGAAGACTCTTTAAACATCTGTTAAGTTCATTTGTTCAGGAGTTTGATTGAGTTTTAGCATTTCATTGCTTTTTTTTTTTGTCTAGTTGATCTATTTGTTACATTGGGCTTTTGAGGTCCCCCATTACCATTGTATTAGTGCTGATTTGATTTTTTATGTCCGTTAGTATTTGTTTTATATAGTTGGGCACACTAGTGTTTGGTGAAGGTATGTTTATGATTGTCATCTTTTCCTCTTTGATTGTTCCCTTTATAAGGATGTAGTGTCCTTCCTTGTCTCTCTTAATTAGTGTGGGTTTGAAATCCACTTGGTCTGCAAAGAGGATAGCTTCTCCTGCTTTTTTTTCAGGTTCCCATCGCATGGAGTATTGTTTTCCACCCTTTAAATTTCAGTCTATGAGTTTC